TTCACGTGTTGGTTGGCATCGGACACCAGCTCCTGCAGGTGAGACAGGTGGGACAGGTGAGACAGGTGAGATTGTACAGGTGGGACAGGTGAGACAGGTGAGACAGGTGAGACAGGTGAGACAGGTGGGACAGGTGAGAGACTGAGACAGGTGAGACAGGTGAGACAGGTGAGACAGGTGAGACAGGTGAGACAGGTGAGACACACCAAAGGTGTCCCCAGGTGTCCCCAGGTGTCCCCAGGTGTTCCCCAGGTGTCCCCAGATGTGTCCAAGGTGTTCCCCAGGTGTCCCCAGGTGCATCCAGGTGTCCCCAGGTGTGTTCCAGGAAGGTTCTAGAACGGGTTCTAGACTGGGTTCCAGACTGTTCCAGAGCAGGTTCTAGATCGGTTCTAGACTCGGTTCTAGATTGTTCTAGAGCGGGTTCTAGAACGTTCTAGATCGGTTCTAGAGCGGTTCTAGACTCGGTTCTAGACTGGGTTCCAGGTGTGTCCCCAGCTCCCCCCAGGTGTCCCCACGTGTTCCCCAGGTACCCCCAGGTGTGCCCAGGTGTCCCCAGGTGTCCCCAGGTGTGCCCAGGTGTCCCCAGGTGTGCCCAGGTGTGCCCAGGTGTGCCCAGGTGTGCCCAGGTGTGTCTCAGGTGTCCCCAGGTGTGCCCAGGTGTGTCCCAGGTGTCCCCAGGTATTCCCCAGGTGTCCCCAGGTGTCCCCAGGTGTATCCCAGGGGTGCCCAGGTGTATCTCAGGTACCCCCAGGTGTTCCCAGGTGTGCCCAGCTGTGCCCAGGTGCTCACCTTGATGCAGGGCAGGATCTGGCCCATGATCACGGCCTCGCGGCAGTCGGGGGAGAGATTCTCGCAGAACTCTGGGGACACAGAGGGACCCGAAATGGGGACAGAACAGCCAAAATTGGGAAAAAACACCCGGAATTGGGAAAAAACACCCAAAATTGGGGAAAAAACACCCGGAATTGGGGAAAAAACACCCGAAATTGGGGAGAGAACACCCAAAATTGGGGAAAAAACACCTGAAATTGGGACAGAACACCCGAAATGGGGAAAAAACAGCCAAAATTGGGACAAAACACCCGAAATTGGGATGAAAACACCCGAAATTGGGGACAGAACACCTGAAATAGGGGAAAAAACACCCGAAATTGGGGAAAAAACACCCGGAATTGGGGAAAAAACACCTGAAATTGGGACAGAACACCCGAAATGGGGAAAAAACACCCGAAATTGGGAAAAAACACCCGGAATTGGGAAAAAACACCCGGAATTGGGAAAAAACACCCGGAATTGGGAAAAAACACCCGGAATTGGGGAAAAACACCCGAACTTGGGGAGAGAACACCCGAAATTGGGGCAGAACACCCCAAATTGGGGAAAAACACCCGAAATTGGGGTGAAAACACCCCAAATTGGGAAAAAACACCCGGAATTGGGAAAAAACACCCAAAATTTGGGACAGAACACCCGAAATTTGGGGTGGGGCCAGCAAGGTTGGGTTGGGGACATTGAGGAAGGGTCAGTGACACCTGTCCAGGGTCAGTCACACCTGTCCGGGGTCAGTGACACCTGTCCCAGGTGGGTGACACCTGTCCAGGGTTGGTCACACCTGTCCCAGGTGGGTGACACCTGTCCGGGGTCAGTCACACCTGTCCAGGGTGGTCACACCTGTCCCAGGTGGTCACACCTGTCCGGAGTGGTCACACCTGTCCGGGGTGGTGACACCTGTCCGGGGTCGGTCACACCTGTCCCAGGTCAGTGACACCTGTCCCAGGTCAGTGACACCTGTCCGGGGTGGCCGCTGACCTTTGACCTTGTGCGACGCGGCCGCCCGGACCTCGGCCTCGCAGTCCTTCATCAGGCTCTGGAACGCCCCCACCAGGTCGCTCTTGGTGATCTCGGGGCCCACGGCGCGCTGCAGCTGCGGGGACAGGTGAACAGGTGAGTTACAGGTGAGTTACAGGTGTGTACAGGTGTGTACAGGTGAGTTACAGGTGTGTACAGGTGTGTACAGGTGTGTACAGGTGAGTTACAGGTGTGTACAGGTGTGTACAGGTGTGTGTGTGTACAGGTGTGCTTGTGAGTTACAGGT